GTCATTTTTCTGTCATTTGGCCTTGTCATTTTTTTGTCATTCCTAAATTCTACCTGTCATTGTTCTGTCATTTTTCTGTCATTTTTCTGTCATTTGTGCTGTCATTTTTGTGTCTTTTTCTGTCATTTGATCTGTCATTTTTTTGTCATTTGCCTTGTCATTTTTTTTGAGCTGGTTTTCTTTGATTTCTTCACTTTTTTCATTTGTTTTCGTTGTTTCTCTTCATTTTTTCATTGGTTTCCTTCATTTTTTGAATAGTTTTCTTTGAATTTATCATTTTTCCAATTGCTTTCTTCAATTGTTCAATGGATTTATTGATTTCATGCTAGAAAATTAAAGAAAATTTCGAAAAATTAAAGAACAACATCAAAAATTGTAGAAAATGATAGGAAAATGATAGAAAAATGACAGAAAAATGACAAAAAAATGATAAAAACCCAAGGTTTTTAACAATTTTCATTTTTTTTCTGGTTCATGAAACTTTGACATTTTTTTGTCATTTTTTTGTCATTTTTTTGTCATTTTTCTGTCATTTTTCATTGATTTCCTTCATTTTTTCATGCTTTTCCTGTATTTTTTTTTAATTTTTCAATGGTTTTCCTTGATTTTCTTCAATTGTCTATTGGTTTTCTTCATTTTTCACTAGTTTTTTTTGATTTCTTCACTTTTTTCATTTGTTTTCGTTGTTTCTCTTTATTTTTTTCATTGGTTTCCTTCATTTTTTGAATAGTTTTCTTTGAATTTCTCATTTTTTCAAGTTTTCTTTGAATTTATCATTTTTCCAATTGCTTTCTTCAATTGTTCAATGGATTTATTGATTTCATGCTAGAAAATTAAAGAAAATTTCGAAAAATTAAAGAACAACATCAAAAATTGTAGAAAATGATAGGAAAATGATAGAAAAATGACAGAAAAATGACAAAAAAATGATAAAAACCCAAGGTTTTTAACAATTTTCATTTTTTTCTGGTTCATGAAACTTTGTCATTTTTTTGTCATTTTTTTGTCATTTTTTTGGCGTTTTTGATTGATTTCCTCCATTTTTTCATGCTTTTCCTGTATTTTTCTAATTTTTCAATGGTTTTCCTTGATTTTCTTCAATTTTCTATTGGTTTTCTTCATTTTTCACTGGTTTTCTTTGATTTCTTTACTTTTTTCATTTGTTTTCGTTGCTTCTCTTCATTTTTTCATTGGTTTCCTTCATTTTTTGAATAGTTTTCTTTGAATTTATAATTTTTCCAATTGTTTTCTTCACTTGTTCAATGGATTTATTGATTTCATGCTAGAAAATTAAAGAAAATTCGAAAAATTAAAGAATAACATCAAAAATTGTAGAAAATGATAGGAAAATGATAGAAAAATTTACAAAAAAATGATAAAAACCCAAGGTTTTTAACAATTTTCAATTTTTTTCTGGTTCCTGAAACTTTGTCATTTTTTTGTCATTTTTTTGGCGTTTTTGATTGATTTCCTCCATTTTTTCATGCTTTTCCTGTATTTTTCTAATTTTTCAATGGTTTTCCTTGATTTTCTTCAATTTTCTATTGGTTTTCTTCATTTTTCACTGGTTTTCTTTGATTTCTTTACTTTTTTCATTTGTTTTCGTTGCTTCTCTTCATTTTTTCATTGGTTTCCTTCATTTTTTGAATAGTTTTCTTTGAATTTATAATTTTTCCAATTGTTTTCTTCACTTGTTCAATGGATTTATTGATTTCATGCTAGAAAATTAAGAAAATTTCGAAAAATTAAAGAATAACATCAAAAATTGTAGAAAATGATAGGAAAATGATAGAAAAATGACAGAAAAATGACAAAAAAATGATAAAAACCCAAGGTTTTTAACAATTTTCATTTTTTTTCTGGTTCATGAAACTTTGTCATTTTTTTGTCATTTTTTGTCGTTTTTCATTGATTTCCTTCATTTTTTCATGCTTTTCCTGTATTTTTCTAATGTTTCAATGGTTTTCCTTGATTTTCTTCAATTTTCTATTGGTTTTCTTCATTTTTCACTGGTTTTCTTTGATTTCTTCACTTTTTCATTTGTTTTCTTTGTTTCTCTTTAATTTTTTCATTGGTTTCCTTCATTTTTTGAATAGTTTTCTTTGAATTTCTCATTTTTTCAACTGTTTTCTTCACTTTCTCAATGGATTTATTGATTTCATGCTAGAAAATTAGAAAAAAATCGAACAATTAAAGAAAATCATCAAAAATTGTAGAAAATGATAGGAAAATGATAGAAAAATGACAAAAAAATGACAGGGACAAGGGACAGGACCAAAACAAAAAACAACAAAAAAATGACAAAAAAATGACAGAAAAATGACAGGGACAAATGACAGGACAAAAAAAACGACAAAAGCAAATGACAAAAAAATGACAATGCAAACGACAAAATAATTATTTTCATGTACCCCAGTGTGTGGCTGCAAGTGCCTTCTAATGATACACGAATGCGTTTTTGACAAAGGACTTCATGAGACTTCCAAATACCAAGCACTGTCCAAGACCTGCTTGAATTCTTTTTGTCCTCCCTGCTTGGGCATTTGCGGTCTTTGTCATGCTTGCCTTATCACAAGGCAAAGTGGCATGCTTAAAAATGCCACACCAAATGACCAGTGTATCACCCCCACATGGTCTCACCCCAATGTAAAAACTCCTACATAATCTCAACCCCAAAGTGGTGATGTATTATCACCGAAAATTTGAATTTGAATTCAAAAAAACGACAGAAACACACTGCCTTTGAACCATCACAGTTTTGAAACTGTGCTCTCACAGTCTGGAAACTGTGAATTCTGGATTTTCGCAGTTTTCTCTCATTTTTAGTCTTTCACAGGTGGGAAACTGTGCTTCACAGGTGGGAAACTGTGCTTCACAGGTGGGAAACTGTGATGGTAAAAGGTCTAACATCAAAAACTCACAAATGGGCTTTTCCCATCAGTTTTGACAACTCATCCAAGTCATTTGATGACGAAGATTTTATCTGCGTCAAGCGGTGTTCCAACATACTGTCAAGTGTAGAATTATCACACACCTTTTTCCGCATTGAAAAGTTTAAGTAGTGCTTCATAGCACCAACAACAACTGCGGATTTCAATTCATTCACTTCCTCAATGTGGTTGTCCAAATCACCAATGACTTTTACCATTTTCTTAATGACTGCTTCTGCCTTCTCTTCATTTGAACCGTATTTCCGCTTTTGACCTTTGATGTCTGGTTTCAAGATGGCACGGCACTCATTGATGGCATCTTCTGTGGTGAGATGACCAACGGCATTGACAAAAAGTTGTTGAGATTGACCGTCCGGAATTTCCGCCAAGTAATTGACAATTCCTTGGGCATCTTTCATACAACAGCATTCATACTTTTTGCCTCTGATTGCGGAAGACAAAGTCGTTGAAACTGCCTTGACATCCTCTTTCTTGTCCTTCTTGATAGTTTGAAGCACACCCTTCAAAGTAGAAGATGATGAAGGTGTATCACGAGACAATCCCATTGCTCACACTGACAGCAAAACGGAAACCTCAAATGCTTGAATTGATTTGAGCAACAAAGTGCTTTTTTGCTGGACAAGTTCGTTTGCTCTCTGGTTGAACAACTGCCAAAGGTTTTGCTTCCCAGACTGCTTCAACTTCACTGTCTCAACTTTGCGTCATCTCTGATGTTCTGGGCATCCGGACTTTTTTTGGATGAAGTCATTGTCCAAAAAAGCCGGTTGGCAAAATGAAAGAGGGTATGGACTGGTAAGATAGGATTATTAAAGGGTAGGGGTTTATCTTTATTTGGGTCTATTGTTTTGTTTTTATATTGTTCTTTGCTTGGTCTGGTTTTTTGTTTGTTGTTGTTTGTTATTATGATTTATGTTAAGATGGGTAAGGTTATGTTTATAGAGTTTTATGTATTGTTGTTTGTTGTCTTGTTTTTGGTATAGTCTTTTTTATTATTCTGTGTATTGTTTAGGTTGTTTTGTTTTTTGTTTTTATTTGTTTGTTATGATTTATATTATAGATTATGTTAAATTATATGAGGTTATGGCAATCCCGTCATAGGTATTAGCCCTTATGATTTTGTTGTATGATAATCTGGGTGGGTTATATTAAGATGGGATTGGTATTTAAAAAGATATTTCCTATCTATAGTAGGGTAATGGAAGATAATAAAATCAAATGTGCTAAATGCTTTAAAGAAATGGAGGAGGGTAAATACAAAACTTGTGATAGGTGTAGAGAATATATGAGACAAAATCATCAGAAGAACAAAGAAAAATATAATGAAAGGAGGAGAGAGTATTATTACAATCATATAGAGGAGGCAAAGGAATATGCTAGAAATTATGGTAGGACACACAGGGAAGAAATTATGCTAGAAATTATGGTAGGACACACAGGGAAGAAATAAATGAAAGAAGAAGAAATCATAGAGCAGAAAACATTGAACAAGTGAATGCCAAAATAAAATGGATGACCTGCCCTGTATGTGATGATTATGAAATTCAATGTAAGAATTACAAGAGACACACACAAACAACAAAGCATCTGGAGAACTGGAAGAAACAGCAAACATAAATTTCATTTTATAATTTCAAAATTATAAAAGTGAAATTGTTTTTTTGTTATGATTTATGGTATAGTCTTTTTTATAATCTATTGTAGTGTTTAGGTTGTTTGAGTTTTCTTGTTTTGTTGTTTGTTGTTTTGATTTATGTTATTGTTTTCTATAAGGTGTTGCTCCCCTGTCTTTGGTATTAACCCCATAGAATTTGCTTGTATAATAATGTGGGCGGTTAGATGAGAAAGACGGGGGAGCAACAGTCTAACTATATTATACGTATATATATATATATATGTGCTTCAGACCTTTCAATCACGGAGTCAGACAACAAACTGGTCAAAAGGCGCAAATCATAGCTTTGAACAAGTCGCAATGCCGTTGTCTCAAGCGATAGGTGGATGAGCAATTGTGTATTTTTTCAATATGTCACTCGATTTGGGCTAGCTGACCTTGGCACGCTCCTGACTCTCCCAATCTTCCGCCATCCGGGCCAGGCAGCGTTCAGCCACCTGCCGCAGACGGAAATAGTTGTTCTATTTCTACGTTGTTGTATGTATATATATATGTACGTACATATATACACAATCTGTGTGTGTGTGTGGGTAATGCCATATAACATGCAACGCAATGTCATGGAATGTAATGTAATATGATGTGGTAAAATTGACTAAGTACTGCAACGCAATGTAATGTAACGCAATGTAATGTAATGTAATGTAATGCAATGTAACATGAAGCAGTGTAGTGGACTGCAGTGTAGTGGACTGCAGTGTAAGTGCAGGTGGGTGGATGGATGGATGGATGGACGGATGGATGGACAGACGGAAGGATGGCTGGATGGATGCATGTGATTGTATGAGCAACAAATCATTGAACAATAACAAAATGCAATGCATATTCATATCATACAGTGTACAATAGTATACAGTCTACATATCATATATACAGTATATATATATATATTATATATATTCTCAACACACATTGTGTATGTCTGTGTGTCTATAATTATGACTCAGATTCACCTTGCCCTACTGGCCCTACGGTCCCATCCATTCCACGCATCTGGACCATGGACCATGGCACAACCCCCGACCTGATCCGAACGCTTGAAGGCATGCAAGATACTGGACAGGAAATCCAGAGGCACCGCTACCCCTGGCAGCGGCTTCGTGATGCTGGCATCTGGGAAGGCACCAGTGGCACCATGTCATGCGATTTTGAGCTGTGACTCTCCGAGACTGACGATTGTGGTCTTTGGATGGCGGCGCGGGCTCTGCGCCTCTGGAATCCTCCTGAAGATCTGGCGAATCCCTGGGCATTAGGACACCAAGACATCAAGTCCCTTCATCCAATAGATGAACATGAATTCAAATGATATTATATGATAGTATATTATATTATATTATATTATATTATATGGATGGGAGACCCACAGCCCAACGGTTCAATTCATTTTTGGCAAAATCCGCCATGTGGCCACAGAAGTTGAAGCAACATCGTCTAAGCATCTCTCATGCCACGTCCCCAAAGGCCTCCCCAGCCCCTCGCTGGAAGGTCGACAGCCTCAATTGGCTTTTTAGGTCTGTGTGTGTGGGGGCCTTCATTTGGGATGCTGAAACTTGAAACCTCCAAATGATTGCAACTCCTCTCAAAGGTAATCCCTCACCCTCAGGGATGGAGAGGACGCATGAAGTATGTTAAACTCGATGTATGGTGGATAAAGGCAAAGACTAGACATGCTGTAGGTGGTCGGTAGATAGAAGCAATTCCCAGTAGCTAGGGCAACAGCAAATCGGAACTGCAGGTCCGATACCACACAGCACTTACAGTGGGGACTCACAAAGGGGGTTGTGGTTTGGTTTCATGAGAAAAAAATGGCAAAAAGGAAAAGCAGCTGAAAAACGCATGATCCGGTCATGCAAGGACAGCAACTATACCCTCCACATCCAGCTGCACGGATTGCGCAAACACTTCAACTTCCACTCACTGCCCTTTTGGCCACACTACACCATGCTTCCAGGCCGTGCACTCATCACAGATCATCACAGCTAAGTAATAGTTGGATGCCGAGATGACAAAATAGAGGAAATCTATTTAACTGGAAGGCTCAATTCACCAAATCAAGTGCTTGCCTTCAATGATTACCTCATCAGCAACAATCCAATTGGTACAGGTTCGGCGGAGCTGGAACTCTGCAAACGTCCCCACAGTCAACATCTTTCTGCCAAGCTTCGAGGCGGGGTGCACATCACCTCCAAATGATGTTTCTTTGCTGTCTGGGAAACATTTCATTGTCCAAAGATGTCCAAAGCTTGTCTGAAAGTCTGGTCCGTCCAAAAGTCTTTGTCTCGAGTTGACTCCTGCCACTTTAACGTAGTCCTATTACAGCGCCATAGAAAATCGCAGGATTCCCAACTCTATCCAATTCCTGAGATACCTACAGTATTCGACAACACTCCGCCAAACAACAAATCCTTTTGATGTCTTATAAAACTGACTTGGTTCCTCAACTGAACTGCTTCACTCCAGGTCAGCCCGCAGCCCGACGCCAAGATATTACTGATAGTACTGCTGGCATTTGTATTCTGGTAACAATTGCTATGACTAGTGCACACAGCCAAAGGGCAGAGTCATGACTACTACCTCCGGTTGTGACCAGCTGCGATGCCATCCCGTACCTGCGAGGTCTGCGTGGGAGGCGCCCGAGGCATCCACGTCTCACCTGCAGCCTGGCTGGGTGGTATATGGGTATGGCTCGACTCAAGCCCTTGGGGTAGCTATAAGCTAACTAATTGTTGGTCATTTCCAATATTAGACCAGACATTTGGGGTCAATGTTCGTCCCTATGTCATGATCTTCGCAGACTTTGCCGGCCGAGAACAGATTTTTTGGAAACGTGGCAGCTGGTGTCACCCAAAGAAACTGTACATGAAGGTGAATCCGCATTCCACGGCAGCCAAAGGCTTGAAGTACAGGGTAAATTTTCCCAAGACCATTGCTGGTATCCTGGATCCTTCCTTTCTGGTTGCTGGTGCCATTGGTCAGGGGATCATCATCCCGGATGGACGCCGACCGTTCGAACGCTCCTCTGCAAGATTGGGGCATCACTGGCATCACGGTAGATCAACTCAGCACTGCTCAAAAGCTTCTTGAAGTTGTTTTAAGAAGCCTTCATTGGGACTGACCCTAGGCCGACAATGCTTGAGATCTGCAAGAACCTCCTGCACTGTCTTTGGAGTTCCCTTCTGTTGGGAGTCGTAAAGCAAATATGCAGCTGCAATGGTGGCTGAACGACTTTGGCCATGTTTACAGTGTATCAGCACGTGTCCTGCTTGCTTCTCCATGGCTTCTGCGATAAACCGTACGCTGTCTGCAAAGTGCTCGCAAATCCGATGGTCGACAGAATCGTCCACAGGAACTCGAAAGCGGTCAGTGAGTTCCACATGCAGATCAGTCCGAATCGGTGCCTGCGACTCGTTCCCAGTGGAGCCAGTAGGTTTTGATTGCAGAAGCGAGGCCACTTCGTCCACGAAAGGAAGGTCACGGGAGCAGTTCACTACAAACTTGATATCTAAAGCACGGTAAATGTATGGGTCGCTGGCAATCCCAAAGTTGCTTAGAAACAAATAGCTTCCCCTGTCCCTTGCTATCAGAGAGGGATACAAACGGCCTGCTTCAAAGAAGTCGTGCTTGGGGCTGAGCCAAGGAAACAGGTGATAGAAGCCCTCCACATTGCCTGCCAGGGTTCCAGGTTCATTTGATCGGCGCCTGTTTCATCGGGCAGCTCGTCTGAAGGATTGCGTGACTGTGGCGCTTTGTGGGTGGCCAAGAGCTTGTAGAGTCGATTTGGGATTCATAGGTTTTTTATTCAACATCCTTCAACCATCTTGGACTTGAACGCTTTCGAGTCAGAAATAAGATCTGTATGGAGATTTGTATAGTCATCATTAATGATCATTATGGAGTTGGAACTCATTCATTACATCTAATTACCACCTGCCATCATTTCATATTTCTTCCCCCCACACCTGCCATTCGGCACACTTCCTTCACCAAAGTCGGATCCTCACCGCCCAATCCTCCCAGACGCCGTGGACTCGTTGGACCGTTGCACATGACCACGACGGTCCAACCCCGTGCACGACGCTTGGCGATCACCTGGGGACGTTCAAAGCTGAGATCCACGGGGACTACACATGAATTAGTGCATCAAAAGATACAAAATAAGTGTATTCACTAATACACTTCTATTAACTAACTCTTATTAATATACATATCATATTAAGTTTTAATACAAATGTGTGGGGATGTGTGGGGTACAAACAAAATGTTGAATTTACATAAACTTTCCATTATTTCGTATCTGTCCCGTGATTTTGAGATACGTCCCAAACTTTTCAGCACCTCCACTAGAAATCGTTTGAAACGCTCAGGGGGCAGAAAGTTCACTTCAGCAGTGTCATCGTCCATCTCCGCTGCATTGTCCAAAGTGGTATCCACCACCAAGATCAACTCTCTTGTGTCCTAGCAGGTCCGTGATACTAAATGTCCTTAAGTTGAGAGTACCCATAGAAACATATAGAAACCATGGTTTAGTAGGACATTCTCACATATTTGGGACCATTTAAATCCATTTAGGAGGTATTTTGTACTAGGGGACGGGATTAACAGTCCCTACTTGAAATCACGAGTCGACAAGATGTTAAGCGACATTTCTCTCTCAGCAGTTACTTCACGATGCCTTTTCTCCTTTGGTAACCCTGACTTCGGGTTCGTCTCAGTTTGTGGGGCACCCATAAAATATCATAAAATCACCATTGTTAAAAATTGCCCTAAATGATGCGTATGGGTACCATGGGTATCCGGGTTGGGGTACCCAATTTGAGACCTGCAGCTTGTTGTAGACCTCAACAGCTTGGAGCTCTCGAAGCTCACCCAAAAAAGGTCCAGGAAGCTCACCATGGCGGCGCCAGCTGTTTCCCATGGCGCGTACGCTGGGGGGATGGCGATGTTCCTTGGGAAACCAGTAAAGTTCAAAGGCTTAGGCCTGAAGTTAAGATAATAAGTCTTAATACAGATCCTAAGGTTCCGCTGACCGCAGAAGCGTAGGATCTGTATTAAGATTTATGACTTCTTAAAGCCACTTTGTGCCGAAATCAACAGAAGACATTCTATTTGAATGCTAAACAGAAGCTTTTTTCGAGCAGCTGATGCCAATGTTTCAGGAGCAATCGATCACAGGCCATCTCTGAGAATGTGCAACGGCACTCTGCATGTGGCCTCTGTTGACGGCGAGGACCTGTGTGCCTCCAAGGACTGGAGCGGAGTTGCCTCGTAGCCGTCGTAGCTGTTCCGATGCCATCTTGAAGCCAGGATAATGTATGGGTTTGTCACTAGTCACTAGGCTACCCCATTCCATCCCCCGGATTATCCTGTTCCCAATATATTCCCAATGAAACTAAACATCATGTATGTGGTATCGGTATGCGTCCTTTTTGGACAAACTTACATGGCCATGGCTGAGAAATGCTTTACCAACAACCCACATTGCTTGATTGCTGGCCCACCTCGGGTGTTGACAGCTGCTGCCGTTGCGGCGTTGAACAAGGCGTAGCTTTGGCCTTTGGGAGGCATAAGGAGGCTTGGAATTGGGGGTGTCAATCTCATTTCTGGTGGACATTGGAGAAGTTGATTCTTTTTAAAAAATTGACCACATGAGTCTATGGAATGACTAAACCTCATTTCAATTGGCCCTTTTTGGTTCCGATTCATCTCAAAGACAGCTCAAAACAAAAGAAACTCCAGCAGCTCATCAACTTCGATTTCAGCTAGACTTGTTCCATGCCATTCCAGACAAACCCCCAGCCTTTCCAGCTTCTATAGACTCCAGCCATGCTGCGGCGCCTGGCCAATTTTGAATTTACTCACCATTATAACCTACATCATCTTATATCATCTTATATCCATAAGCTATATAAGATTATATATAAGTTAGCAACTCCCATGTTTTTGAGTTGATTGTGGCTATGTATGGATAAAAACACATGGCTTAACCACATGGTTAACCAGTAACCACATGGCTTAACTATATGGAGTTGATCATCCAACCATCCATCCACAGCCTGGGCTCTGAAACTTCACTTGTGGCGTCCCAGGTGTGCCAGGCTCCCTGGCGGTCCCCGAATCTCCGAAGCTCCGAATCGGGAAATGATGGTGGAACGAATCACCTGTGGAATATGAGAAGATTTATGAGAACAAATATAGAACAATATCTATTCCCTATTGGTGGGAGTGTGTTGCAGAATGAATTGATAGGAAATGATGCACTGCAAAATCATATTAGCATATATTAGCGTTTCTGCCAGTGATGCCGTGGGTGATGGGCAATGTAGTCGACTCATCCATCTCAACAGTTCTAGGCTTTATAGTTGTTGCCGGTTGCGACCGGTTGATGCCAAGATGCCATGTTTTCCATGCCCTTGTTGCATTGGAGGCTCCCAACCCTCCGGATACAATGGTTGGGATCAACGCTGATATTGGCTACATATTACCAAGAAAACCAGCTACATCAACGGTGCTTAAAAAGCAGCGACATCCGTGCCTCTTAGAGGTCTGGACCGCTCCTTGCAACGGATGAAATCAGTCAATTGTGGATTGATGCAACCATAGTTGCTGGTGGAACCAGTTAATTGCAGGTGGCTTGCTGGATATAAGAAATCTCAATGGATGGAAATGTTGCTTGAAACCAGGGTTTTTAACCCGAAAGCCAAGGATTTCGGGTCAATTGTGTCCTTAATCCAATCTCAAAGCAAAAATTGTACTAGTAGTTTCAACATATCACCCCCCTCACTTGAAGCTGTGGTAAATGGTGATTCAGTTGTGTGTTTATCTCGTTCTCACATCGAAACCATTCGAAACCTTACTTGGCAACGCTTGAAGAATACATTAAAGGAATCATACCTTTGAACATGTGTGAATATTCTTTGTATACCGTGGAAAAATTCCAACTTGCAAAGAATCGTCTCAGCCAAACCTGACTGAATCTAGGCCGCAGGACATTTTGTGAGCTGCTACAGTGGTAGCAACAGGAAGACTTGGCAATCGTACTGTTGGACAGTGTCTAATTGGACATGTTCTTTTCCAATAAATGCTTCCATCAATGCCACTAGTTGTAGGAAGCCTGCAAAAGTTTCCAGCTCTTTCTCAGCAGTTGCAGGATCACTCTAATCTGTCTCCAAGAAGCATAATCTCTGTCCCCCAATTTAAATGCCCCCAGAAACCCATGGTCTAGTACATATGGTGGGTACTGGTTACTTAATATTCGCGAAATGGGATGAGTCAACTACACGAGACAGTTCGAACGCCGAACGCCGAATTCAGCACTTTTTTTCGTGCGCCTGCCTTTCTGAGAGCCCGACCAGCCAGCACAGCCTCCAAGTACTTGGGCCACTGGAATGCCAGCAAGTATTGTCGCACCTGCACTGAGCCATTGGGCACACTGATGTGACAGAAGGGATAGCAACACTACGCGGAGTTGCTTTTTGGTGAATGGCCATATGATTCATCCATATGATACATCCATCAATCATGAAAATCTAGTGATAGAAAAATGAATCATCATCAGTCATCAGTCGGGATACATCCACCCATATACCACACTTTGCAGATCATGACTGATCAGCCTGCTGCAATGAAGTCACGTGGAGCGGCCTGGATATGGGACATATCCAGCAGCAAGGACTAGGAAAAAATGGCCAAATGGAGGTTGAATTGTTGGGTTTACCACTTTACTATCATGTATCATTCAATACATATCATATATTTCTATATACAGTCATACAGTATCTAGAAATATATAGAGAGAGAGAGACAGGTTGCTTTAATTTGCGGTATTTCCGGCTATCTTGTTCCAGGATCTCTCCGCTATTCTCCGCTTCTCTTCTTCGACATCAGCATCCACACCTCATGGCAATGTGAGGCACTATCCTGGGAAGCATTGCATCTGCACCTGGCTCGCCACAGGAGTGATGAAGCTATGGTAGCAGAGTCTAGAGTTGTTGTATTTAAGTGGTCCCTGTTCATCAACTGGGGCTTCATCCAAATTGATGTATATTTATGTGCATAGTCAAAAAGATTCAAAAAGTGTCCACTATCAACATGGAGTCTTTTGGTAAGGTTCACAACTACTTTACCACCCAGAACCTCCTTTTCGCCCAAAGAGCCAAAACGACACCCCTGCTGGCGCCAAATCTCCTGAGCTTCCCAACCTAATAAGATCTGCAGTACTTCCGAACATCCCGGACGGTTCAAGGCGCGTAGCAACACGAAGGGCGCTTGGTAGTGCAGCAGCAGCGCCAAGACGTCCGCCTCGTGCGCGATCAGCAAGTGCTGCAGGACGGTGCCTGGGGAGACGAATACATGAAGATCATCTACAGAGTGTGTGTGTGTGTGCATTATGTTTGTGTAGCATGTATGTGCATATAATGCATATTGTATATATAGTGTATATATATATAATATGTTCACATTATAGAGCACGTGTATATATATGTATATGTATATATATATACTGGCAACCCAACAGGAATGGCAGGAATGGGTATCTGGGCATGTCTGTACCATAGACTCGTCTAAAAAATTGTCATTTTTGTGGCTCCAAGAGTTGGTCTTTTTTTCGGTATCACCGAGGGGATTCAATGGGTTAATCTATGTTAAAATGTGGATAATCCAAAAACCGCCGACTTGAGTCCAAAAAAACACAAAGCCCAGAAATTCCATGGTAAAACTAGGGACAAAAACACAGAAATGTGGGACCATCCGGAGCGTGTTTAATAGCTGTTAAAAATGGGTCATTGGGGAGATGGGATTATTCTCGCTTGAAATGACCATAATTCCATATAAGTCCCATTGGGGGTGAAACAGTAAGTTTACATGATTTTGGAGAAACCCACTGAAGGGAAACCCCTATGTTTCATCCTTGAATCCGCATTTTGGCACAAAAATCCCCCACGATCTTCGCCATCATAGCCCAGCTGCAGATGTGAAGGCTGAACCCGGGGCATCCAGGCTGTAGACCTCCCAAGAGTTCTAGGCAGGTGGCTGCCAGGGTGGCATTCGCGACATGCCAACCTGTGGCAAGGTTTGAAGGAGATCGGATGGTTGTATATAATTGGAAATATTTCTGAGTAAATTGTTGTGATATGGTAACATGAATCATATTCGATCACCTATGTATCTATGTATGTATGTATGTATGTATGTATGTATGTATGTATGTATGTATATTCATCATGTTTCCACAGCTCTGTCCCAAAACCGTAGAGTTCCGTACGAAATTCAACGGCTTCCAACCCCCCATCATCGATAGTAACTGGGATCAGCTGGAAGCGGGCCATCCATTGAGTGTGTTTTCCCTAGGTTTTCCAACAACATTTGCCACATAGAGATAGAAATACCCCAACTTAAATATTGATATGATATCTAAGTCTAGATATATAATGTATATATATAGATAATTATCGATCACACTATATAATACATCTTATTCATATATATATATATGATTATATATGTATGGGTTTGTCTGAAAGGGCATCCCGTTATCCCAAAATCGATTCGTTTTTCAGGTTTTTCCCTATTAAATTGAAACGGTTATTCCGGATAATACACCATTTTCTGACGCACCCAAAAATCTGATTACGTTGGTTCCCCATTGACTCGTAGTGCATCCTTATATAATTTGTTGACTAAATCCCCAAGTTATCTGGTTATTTAACATATGGAAAATGACCCATTTATAGATGACTGAATATGAATTTATGATAATTTATGATGATCTACCTATTACAAATGGTGATTTTCCAGTTACTAACTGAAGTTCCCAGAGGCTCCCACCAAAAAAAACACCGCTGCGGCCTGGAGCGGTGAGCACCATACAGGTGGTCTGCATGGCATTGTGCGACCTCCACTCGGCATGCTCGTCGCTGCCACTTCGGTGCGGCTCGGAGCCGCAGACCATGAACTGAAGGAGGCTCCTGGCTGAATAACTTGGGGATTGAAGCATCAAAACTTGGATTAACTTGGGCAGTTGAACCAGTTGAACCAGTTGAACCATCAATTATTTGGGTGTTGTGAGAATGCCTTTGACTGGCGGATACTGGCGGCTTGCTGTGTTGCACCTTGTCTCGCGGTTTGGAGAAGGTCATTGCATCTGATTACTGGTTGGTGGTTTAAACCCCTCTGAAAAATATTAGTCAGTTGGGATTATTATTCCCAATATATGAAAAAATAAAAAATGTTCCAAAGCACCAACCAAATTAGATAGATCCAAGTTGTTGTACCAAATGTGTCCAAGCGCATGTTTTGGCCTACACACCATTTCCGCGTACTGATTTTTTATACCGTATTGCTCGTCCGATGGCCCCATCCACTGTCACCCATAACATTTGATGACATTGTATGTACATATAATTAACATATATTAACATTATAGAATATATATATATCATTTATGATACTAGTACGTAAGTATAATCAATTATAATCACATAATATATGTATATATAATTACCGTAACTACATTTAAATATACGGACTTTTAAATATACGAACTGGTATTTCATGCTACCTCCGGGGGCTCGCGGTCTGACCCGCCCTCCACATATTTAAATGGCGTTACCGCATATATAGCCTATCATCTTCCCAGCCTGAAGCTTCCATCAATCACAGATCATCCCCTGCCGCCTCAGATACTCACCACGTTGGTGCATCCGTTCCCAGACAATCTGCGGCAACTCACCGGGAAGCTCCAGCCATCTACGCCATTCATCGTAGATCTGCAGCACCACCTGGCGGTGGAAATGCTGCAGCTTGGCGTCCTATGTATCATTAAATTAAACAACAAATACCAACAATATCAATATAGTGATTTAATGATGATATTTAATTGTGATGTCATGAAATTTAAGGTTGATTTTTTGACTTTTTTTTTGACCATAGAATTGATCGTCCTTATGGGTGACCCTTCACCATGGCCACACCTCCGGCGGGTCACTCGACATCGGCAACGACGCCGTCATCGAAGTTCGAAACACACGGTTCCACGGTCGGAGTCGGCGCCGGCGCAGGTTGCAGCGCGGTGTCTACCACATCACTCATCTACAAACCCTGCTTTACAAAGTACTGAAGCCCAAAGGAACATGGCATGGCATGTTCTCCCACCTGATGGCATGGCGGAAACAAGGATGGCATGTTGAAGCCATTGAGGGATCCGGAAACTTGCTATTTCAAGGGGGCCTTCACGGGCACCGGCCTCCTTTTACATTCTTGCTTGAAGAGAACGAATTGATTGGTCAGTTCATGTCAGTTCGCTGGTTTTGATCTCAGTTCAAGGCTTGAAGATTTCTGGATCCTGCAGCGGTCCACGCATTTTTGGCACATCAGCCTGCCACGTCTTGCGCCAATCTGGGTGACACATGGTGCACCAAAACTCCTTGGCACTTCTGAATTGTCCAGCTAAGGACATTTTCCCTTTTCCAGGTGTGATCCTATGGCGCAATGGGAGTTTGCTCATCTCCCTTTCAGCACCAACGGTGGTCCATGAGAGGGCTTTTTGCACTCAGTGGGCACTGCAGCTGTTTTGAGCAGTGGGACTGAGGCCCCTCTACTGACACGTTTTGACACCGTTACTGGGTATGGCTCAAACAAGGGGAGCCAATGGACCCGCAAGTACAGTAAACTATTTCAGTTTGAAGTGTTAATCTTCGGCCATACCCAAATACTTGTGACACTCACTCTTTAGTGTCAAGAGCTTTGGCAAGCTTTTTGGCTTTAGACTTTTTGCTGGCCTCAGGCAAAACCAGTGGAAATATATAACCCCCAGGTCTTGGATGAGAAATTCAATCCAACAAGCAGTTTGTCAATTCCTTTTGCCCATACCGACATCATTTGCCTGACCTCCAGATGTGCAACATGTCCAATCATCATCCATCTGTAGTTCCCTACCAGTTCTCTCAACTCATCCTAATTCACCATTAACTCACCATAACTCACCCATATTCACCCGCCTTTGCCAAATCTTCATCTGCTTCTTCTTCAACTTCTGACCTGACGCCACGCCACGCATACGCCACGCGTACGCCACTGCCACTGTCCACCCGGATGCCCACCTGGTTGGCGCCCAGCCCATCATCATCAGCACTATGACGTTGGCCTAATAGGAACCCTCTGAAAAAGCTGCTGGCCATTGGGGATCCCAAAATATTGATTTAAAATTTGAAACCACCAATACACATGGAGCCACTTTCCAAAAAACTAACATGCAGGTATATGCAAGTGCTTGTTTTCAGGAGATAGATGATGAAGCGTGTCAGTCCGTGATGCAACCGCTCCTGCATCGGTCTTCCATGGTCTGTTTCGGGCGTGACTCTGAAGTTTCCAAAAATGATCTACGACTGAGGCTGATACCAGGATCAACACATGGTCAAACTTGAACTCGTACTTGACATCGTTGGTATCTCTCATCTTAGTCAGGCTGGGCTTGAGCGATGTGAACGTGTTTTCGGCATAAGTGCGACGACCAAAGTCTACAAAAGATGTTTAAACTGTCCAATCCAACAAAATCCTGAAAGATCCAAAAAAAAGTATGAAATCCTCTATGAAACCCTGAGTCCTGCATATTTTTCATGTTCCTCAGGAAAGGTCGCTTTCAGCCAAGTGGCTGGGAAAGCCCCATGGAGGAACATGGACAATGAGCTCATCTGGCTGTAAGGGCCAAGGTCCTGGACACAACGTTCGAAGACCATCGGAGACCAGCAGATTTCTGGCTGCAGTTGAACACAGTTGGTCAAGTCGTCCCGTATCGTCCCGTCCTTGGGCAGTTCAACTACCATAAAAGTCCAAAACCTCGGCTGAGGATTGCAGCTGCATGCAGCTGCCATCTTGAGATCGAGCTGCATGGGTCTTTTAGTCTTTTCGCATCTTATCACTCTGTAGCATCAGAAGATGCTGATGCTAGTGATGGGCAGCAAACTGACTTGATGGCTGTCCTTTCAACTGCATTCAGCTTCCGGCAGACCAAAGCCCCAGAGCCAAATGCCACTGACGGTTAGGATAAAAAAGGCCTCAGAATATCCGGCAAATCAACCACAATGCCAACACCAAGAGGGGCTTGTGACATCAGCAATTGGTGCTTTTGTTAGTCGATGTTGCTTGATGAGCTGTTTACATCGTCACCAATGGCTCCAGGAGCAACAATAATGCACTGACATGCACTGACCATCCTTCGCCTGAAATCATACCTGCATTCATTCCTTGGGGGGAAGATCTGGGTCGGATCCTGCATGGGTTTGTCCAAATATGCTATACCCGATTCCATCCACTGAGGTGGACCCCCTTTTGAGACAAACTCATATCCGATAGGTGTTCCCATTCTCATTCGGTAAATCTCCCATTTATGGTTGGTCAATACAGAAGCAATTTTTAATCATTTTGAGGTGTCCCAAATTTTCAGACAAACCCATTACGTTCCCATCATGTATCGCATGTGCATAAATATATATATATATCATTATACATCCCTGTTCCCATTGTATTCCCATGATATGGAGGTGTCCGAAAATGGGGGGTCCCCAATTGCTGGATGTTTTTTTTTGGAAAGTACATCTATACATTGAATAAAATAAATGGATGATTTGGGGATACCATGACAAAACGGACACCTCATAATCATCCATCCCGAATCCCGGCTCATAACTCGATCAGCCACCTGCACCAGTGCTATGGGCAACATCATCGGACTGCAGACCCGCCGAGCCATGTCGCCCTGGACCGAATGGACCGAATACCTCTCTGGTTATTTGTTACGGGGAGGTGTCCGTTTTGTCATGGTCATGTCATACCCCCAAATCATCCAAGTCATGGATGACTGTTTTAGTATTGAAGCCCATGAAAATTATGGTTATGGATTTCAGATGATTTACCGAACTCGAACATGGTGATTTTCCACAGCTACGTTAAATGACCAGAGGGTATATCAGTAAGAAAATAACGAAAAAGAAAGAGATTATATATTGGAAATATTCGGAAATAGAGTTAACCAGAATAAGAACATATTGAAATATTATGTATTCTCCAACAAAACCAAAAGTATCCCAATGTGCGATTTAAGCAGGAAAAATGATGCTTCAGCCAAAATGAAAAAAACGATTCGATCACCCATCGAAAATGGGGATCTCACCAACACAACAATATATGGAGGGGCAACAGACCAACCAATAACAACAGTGATTTGAGACCAGCAACAAGGGAACTTGCACCAACAACAGTGTGGATTGAAACCGGGGATTGGTCAGAATATTGTATCCAAGAAGGCAAAAAAAAAAGTCCCCAGTCTCTAATTTGACTCATATGATACGGACACGGATGTCCAAGACATACAGTTGGACTCACCAAAAGTCATCTGGGCCTTGTGGCACCCAGCGGTCAAGCGCCAGGTGTTCCCTGTGTCACCCCTCAGCTAAGCTCGAGCAAGATGTTGAGCGGAGATGTTAGCATCCCTTTGGTTCCAGGAACTGCTTGTTGTGTGCAAAACGTTCTGTGGCGCAAGGATGCGCAAGGCACACTTCACACACCTTTTGCATGCAAGCGGCAAGCGCAGCCATGGCACTATCTGTGAAGACTCGGGTCTCGGAATATTCTCTAAGACCCAAATCAGTCGCTAACACCACTAGCGATCAATCCACCTCCACAAATGTGCCATGCTTCTCATCCTGTTTCCAACCAGAGCCTGCTCAAAGCCAACAATTGAAGGCCAAATGTCATGTCTTAAAGAGCACGACCAGAGCATGGCTCGGAAGAGTCCTATCTGCTTGGCACATCAACGGAGGTTTAATGATCTAATGGAATTCCTCAGTGAAACCATGCTCAGCCTGGCGACCGGAGCCCAGGGAACCAAACAGCTAAGTCCATTTCCAGCGTAGAAACATCCCATTTTGGATCATTTGGTGTACCCGGAAGACCCATGCTGCAAACCCATCCTGGTGGGAAGGTCATGTTCCCCAGCCCCAAACCCAACTTTGATGGGTTTTGCCAGGAGCCTTCATTGACTTCCAAAGGGCACACGACGTCCCACTCGGCCTAGTCACGCTGGCTTCTAGGCCTGGAAGAGGGACGACCCACATCCGCAGTCCAAGGGGGCAACCTTGACCACAGATCACACGGTATACACTGCCAGCCCGACCTCTGACCCTGACTCCGAGAAGGGTTTGCTGCCCTGCACAAGTCGTTCTGTGAACAGGAACTGAAAATGCTTGCAATGCCTCTTTATAGTGGGCATAAGTGGGGTGCCCATGCGTGTAGTCACAGGTACAAAGTTCATTCCGTTCACAATAATCCCAATGCTACAGACCTCCAGTGTTTGATGGTTTACACCATCCATTTTTTGTAACAGTGGGATGGTCTATTGTTGGAGTGTCGCACATTATATGTCTTGATGCTTGGTGTAAACCCGCTTGCACGCTGCAGAAACAGTGCAACACAAAATGCCCTACAAGGTCTTTTAAGGTGGCCGTCCGGCCTGTCTCGTGTGTCTTCCTCGATCACTGGGCGTATCACCAGTGTCTTGCCTCCCAGAATGGAAAGGAATGATACGTTTACCACGTTTGGCCAGTGGCAAATAACCTGTGTCATTAAAAAACAATGCCTCCAAACAGGAGACCGTTTTTGGAAGGATGAAAACTATCTGCATCATTGTGTGTGCGTCTGCATATGATGAGCTTCCAGTCCACTCCTCTTTACGAAGCATTTCTATGCATTTGTTGCTTTCGTTCCTTTTCCAACCTTCCTGCCACCCTTACTGAAGCAAGTCTCAGCAGGTCGCGAACGGCAAAGGTCTCAGCACCTGTAGGTTTCGGTGTAGCCCATTGCCTCAGACCACAGCGACATCTGTAGGGCTGTTCTCATGGTGGTCCTCACTGGTGTTTGCAAATCAAACCTTAATAAAATCCAAAACTTTGGCGGACATGTCCATGCAGTTGCCATGTTTGTGTGCACTTCGCATTCTTCTGTTCCATTCCTAGTTGTGCATGATCTTCTAAAGCGCCAGCAACTGAGCTTTCAGACTCCTCGGGCCTTTAACAAATGCACCTGCTCCGCTTGCTTGGCATTTTCGGCCTGGCTTTTCTTGGTCAATCTCCCCTTTGTGGTAGGCTAGATCTTCCGAATATTGCGATAGGCTTGCCATGTTTTGCTGCCTCAACAGCCTGCAATCCATTTCTTCTATTTACAGTATAACCTTCCAAATGTGTCCTTGTCCAGAAATTGGCTTCGCACAAATCCCATGGTTTAAAACCTCGTGTTCATTCAATTGCAATGTTGATCCCTCCATTTGCTGACAGACCCAAATCATGCAAAATCTTATTGTTCCATATATATATATCCACTATCCCAGACTATTCTTCCTTTGCAATATAAATTCCAAAAAAAATGCGCTGCTTAAAATGAAAGAGTTCCGCTGGTTTCAACATGTCAAACCCCCCTTGTTTGGTGATTCTGTCTTGATCACCCACTTGCAGATGCAATTCCAGGTCTAAGTGGATATCATATCCCAACTTATAAGGGTTACTACCATGGTTGTAGCCATATATCTATATGATATTATATTATATTACATTACATTACATTAGATTATATTATATTATATTATATTATATTATATAAGATTATATTATATTATATTATACTATATTATATTATATTATATTATATTATATTATATATATATGTATGTATATTGTATATTATATATATAATGTATGTATATATACATAGGGGGTGATATCTCTTGAATAATCCCAACTGCATCCCCAAGCACCAGCCCCACCTCCAGGAAACGCACTCGCTCCAAGAGTTGCCGCTCCGTCACGGAGGTTTCCACGCTCCTTGGGAGCGGAGCTGGCGATTTTGGGACGATGATGAGATGATTTCCCCAGTTTTTGATTTTAGAGGTTAAAGGTGGTTGTTAGACCTTTTTCAAGACTATTTCTTTGTTTGTACAGAGATTGTTTGGGGGTTTAAAGATGCGTTTTCAATCTTTTTCAGGGCTATGATTGTTGTTTGCGCATGGTTTGGAATGAAACTTTTTGGTAACCAATCGGGGGATGATAGAAAACCAGCCCCGTCTCCCCGTTGGAATGTGGGTTGCCATGGGCGCTGAGCCTTGTTCAGCCGAGCATCTTTGGCCCCAACGGAACGGAGCCATTTTCGCAGCTGGCTGACAAGGCCTTCTGCCTGCCCCATGCACATCCTGTGACTTTGGAATCCCAACATATGGTGATCCCATCCCGATTTGCACCTCAGCTGCAGCATGATCTGCGCTTGCCTCTCCAGCTGCGCCTGACCAGGGATTTCACGGGGTTCTTGGGGAGTCCGGCTGCAAGTTTGACACACCACCAATTGACCGCATGTCACCTTCCAGATATCCCCATTGTTCCTTGCCTTCAGCTGAATTGCGACTATGACCACATCTCAATACATCATCAAATACACCACTCGCTTCCCAGGGTGCCATTGCCTGCAATTCGCCATTCTGCTGCCGCAGAAAGGTCAGTTCATCTCCTCAAAAGGCCAACATTCAAAGGTCAAGCATTCCACTAGGCACCTTGAAAGGTGGAGGTGTGCTCCTTAATTCTTGTCCAACTGGGGCATGAAAGTATCAGCAAGCACACACCTCTGGCAGCGGAATTTCCATGACGTTCACTTTATGCCCCCAGGATTCCCAGGGTCCCAACTCAACCGCCCTCAACCACAAGGTCCATCCCTCCTCCATCGGCTCCATTGTCCTGTCGAGGAATGGTACCCAAACATGGGAAATCCATGGAAATCCACCACTTCGATTCTTCCCATATATTCCCATATATTCCAAGTCAAGGCTCAAGGCCCATGTACTTTGGGGATTTCCCAGCCATGTTTCATGGCCCTTTCGGGCCATCCCACGTCCCATCCCACGTCCAGTCGCTCCTCACGGCCCAGCTGCTTCCGCAGCATCGCCACGAGAGCATCGTCGTCGTCGCTTTTCCGCAGCAGGAACTGCACGTTCGCCTGCAATGCTCATGGTATTCCCCTCTGGTAAATACGTATATATATATATAATATATATATATATTAAATATATATTATATATATACATATATTATATATAGATATACGTGTATATATATATACGTATAAATCTGCTACTATAAATGCATCCAAAATGTACCGCTCTAATCAAACAGCCCAGGGAGGTACTAATTCGGGGTTGTCTTCGTCGTCTGGCTGCAACTGATGGGTCGTGAATTTCGGTTGATCAAATTGGTTGCAGAAGAAGAGTCGAATGCTGAAGGTGAAGCTAAATCTACGTACTCTTTGCGGCATCTTGGTTTCGCTGCATGACCACAATCATTCTTCGTTTTCCAGATTCGCTTGGAAAATGCTGCTGCTGCCTCAAAATTTGACAGGCTTGCACCCCGGGTGGATACACTTCTGGATAGCCAAACTCGTGGAATCCTTCATGGCCAAGTCAGTACTTGTCACTGACGATCACAAAGGGGTGCCCGCCCCGCTTCAGCACCTTCATGTCTCTCAGCTGCGTCTCCAAGAGGCATGAGCGCGACCTGCCAGAGGCTGCCAGAGATTTCGCTGTGGCTCGATCTATGGATCTTTTCCATCCCAAGTCCGGAAGTTTTCATGCCATCGGGATAGAATTCTCCTTGTTGAGGAGGCAAAGACTGGTTTGGTGAATCTCCTGAATCTCCTGAATCCAGGGGTTTATCATTATCATAATCTTCCTCATGCTGGCCACGTTTGGGGTCCATCCCCCTGGACATCTCCCAGAATTGGCACCTCAGTGCTTCGCGTTTCTGCTTGCACTGGGCGGGCAGTCGGAGTTGCATGTTTCAGAAGCGGTGGTTTCAACCCAATTAATGATAGTCAAGCAATAATCAACGAACCATATTTTGATAATTTATACCACCCATTGATGGTGATCTTGGGGATGGTTTACTATTGCTTTACCAACATTGTCCTGGTTAATTTATTAAACCCATCAACAAGGTGTCTTCAATGATGTGTTCATGCCTCAGGTAAACCCGATGGCAGAATCGCCTCAGCTTGCTCTGCTCGAAGTCTTTCAACCTCCTCCTAGCGAGCAGCGCTGGAACAAGGATAGTCTTCCTCTTTGAAATAGGCTGCCCCCCCCAAATCTCATGGAGTTGTTCAATAAGTGCCACTGATTTTCGCCACCAAAAAAATTGGGAACCTGCTGGAGGCTTCCATGAGATCCGTCTCCTGCAGGCGTTCAAATTCCTCGCGTCTTTTGTCCGCAGCTTGACCAACTGCCTGCGATTTTCCGGGACATCTCATCTCAGCAGAAATTCGATGGATCGATTTTAGATGATTTTCGGATATGTCAAAAAAACATCTAGTTTAGGATATGTCAAAAACATCTAGGGAATCTAGGGCACAAAATATTGATTGTTTCATGGGGGTTCCTCGAAATTTCCCATCATCTTCCTTATTTCTTCAATCATTTTCCTCTATATAAAGTGTCCCTGAATTCGAAAAATATCTTCGACCGACTCCGCCTTGCTCTTCACTGCCGACGCGGAAGGAGTTTCCTTCACTTCCTTCGCTGCAGATTAAGTTTTGAGGGAATGTCACAGGGATGAAATGGGGATACTTATATTACCAACCATATGACAGTATGATTTTGGATGGTATGTCCAAGAATGGGGTATATCATGATACACCCCCAATTTTGGCAGTGTTGATGGGGAAAAATGTTGATCAAGCATCGAATTTGGGGATGCCCGATTTTCCGGAGCCCAAGTGGAGGCAGTCGTCCTGGCTAGTGCTACCACCACCAGCCTGCCAGCTTTGGTCATGCAAAAGATGAACAGCATCAAACTTTGAACCATGCAAATCAGATCACGGAATTCCAAGAATGATAACAATGATATACAAATTATACAATGATCATTCATATTCATTCTAGTTCAAGCATGTTCAACATAACATACTCATGGCCACCGAAGGTCCCCCAACGTTGCAGTCAGGTGTCATTCCCGAATGGAACTACGTCCCCCAACTGCCAGGAAAAGTCACCCCAACTTCTTCGCCCATTGTAAACGCAGCACGAAAATGAAAAAGTACAAAAAAACTATCATCCCAAATGTGCAAAACACAATCAGAACGCAAGTCACCCCAATGGTCTTAAACTATGGAAAATTATCAAAAAAACCATATATTTTGATAGCCAAACACCATGTGAACGCATGATTTATGTATGTTTGGGTAGGATATCTCTTTTGTTACAAAACGCATCCAATTCGAATGTTAAAAGTGTAACAAGTACATCTAAGAAATGTCATCTTTTGGATCAAAACACAATGTGAACGCATGATTCATGTATGTTTTGGTATGTTTTGGTAACAAATCTATGGGGTTCTGATTTACATCTCAACTCAATATTTCCGCAACGGGTTCCGAGCGAGGCCAAAAACGAGGCCAAAACGAGGCCCGAAGGAGGCCAGAAAATAGCTTTGGAACCCCCTCAGCTTTAGCAGCAGTACCACCAGCCCGGCAGCAAGTCTCTATAGCAGGAGTCTAGAAGCAGTCTGGCAGCAGCTCAGCACCGCAGCCATTTAGCATCAGCCCGACAACAGCCTAGCTGCAGGCCAGCATCTACTGTAATTAGATGAATCGATGCAACTACTCTAGAAAGGCACCACCCCCGGCAGGGCAACATGTAAACACGTGACTGGATTTGCTTGAAGGTCACATGAATGAGCCAGGCATGACAAAAAAACAAGTTCACCAGTGTAAACACAAGCTAAATGAAGCAAAATTTACTTCTAAAGCATCGTTTTCTATCTTACGCAACTGATCCACAGCAAGTAAACGCATGTTGGGGCGACTTTCCCGGGAAGTCCCCCCCAACTAAACGCAAGATTTTGGATCCGGCGGGGTGAGTTCACTATAGGTGAATATCAACTCATCAGTGGAGTTCTCTCCTTGCCTTAAGCTCCTTGACCTGCCGTTGCAATTGAGCCTCAGGATGGGTGGCCTGGGTGGGGAAGATTCCCCTATTGATGTGCCATATGATCCACATATTTTACCCATAGGATCCTATGAAAATGACCACTTCTGGGTGGCAAGTCCCTCCATTTTTGGACAAAGTCTATCATCGCTGCTTCTCCCTTTTTCTATCCCAGTATAGCCAGTATATCCCAGTGGTCGTCTTGCTTAAGTCCCCAGTTTGGTGCCTAAAACTCCCCAGATTTCTGTTGCCCAGTGGCGATCTGTGTAGCTCGGCCCTTCCATTGCACAGCCATGGGGTCATCCGCCACGGCCAAGGCCTGGAAAGGCAGCCTGGAAACCTGAAAAACCCTTGGAAGCCTTCATTGCTGGAACCTTCCAACCTTGAAACCCTCCAACCTTGATGAAACCCGCAGAGCCTGGAAATTTTCAACCTTTATCACTGTAACAGTGAACATTACCAAGGGCCCGGGGCCAACAAAACTGTCGATTAGGCCAGAAATCTTTTACCACCCGATTTAAATCTGTATTTTATACGACCTCTGGAGCCTGCAGCGTGTAATTGCAAGTTCATATCACTGCAAAGCCTTGTTGCAGCAAACCTCAAACGTCAACAGGCCTGCCACTAGTATCTTGATTTTCTCCACTTGCCGCGAAAGATACCATGCTTGCAGAGGACAGACTTGAAATTTCTCTTCATTCTGCGCACAGTGTTAGGCTTTATATCCCATGTCCCGTTCTAATTAATTATATCCCCGTGTTTGATGCTTAAGCCAATGATTGATGTTTCACCCCAATTCTCAGTGGTTCAGTGCTTCAGGCCGCTGACCTGCTGGATAGCTTCTTCCGCACCAAGTTCCTTGAGCAGCACCTCCAAGTGATCTGCGTATCATCTGGGTGTCAACTAACAAAAGGAGCGGCATGGGAAAGCACCACAAATGGGGGCACATGGGGCACCATCCATGCACTGAATACCATCCAGGAATGGGAATGGAAAAATTAGCATCATAATTACGGGATATTACGGGTCTGTATCAAAAATGATGGTAATTAAATCCCCAATGTTATGGCCATTTTATGAGTTTCCCTAAATGTCCAGACGAAGCCGATGCTTTGGTCTCTGCAACTGTACCTTCTTTTGCTTCTGCAGCAATGCCCGCATCTCTTGCGTTTCATGCCGCACCTCCAAGCGAAAAAACGACTTTCCAAGGGTTCAAAATGTTGGGACCATATGATCATCATATGATCCACAAGGTTGTCGTCAGTGTACTGTATTGCATCTGTTCGTGGAGTGTCAAAATGATTCATGATGTGTGTGTGTGTGTCAAGGCTAAAAAGTGTGCTCCAGACCTCTTGCCAGCATTTGCCAGCTGCCCACGGCTCAAGAAAATGAAGACTGACTCATGACCCCAGTATATCATTTGTAATTCATTTGTAATCCAAAAATCCGGCCAAATTTTAGCAGCACCGGAAACATTAAGTAGGTCAAATCCAAGCTTGGACCCTGCCCACCTGCTGAAGTTGGTTGGATGTTGTGAGATATTTCTTCTTCCAATCCTATCGACGTGGACTTCCCCTGCTGTATTTGGGCTGACGTGACGTGACAGCAGGAGGAAAGGAATCATCTCATCTCCCTTTAGTTGTTTCAGAACAAAAGCGACAAGCGGAGGGGAAAAATAAAATAAAAAAGGGGCTCTGGCTTGTAGTCAACTACGAAATCTGCGACTGCATCTGCAATACCGAAGTTGCACTACTTGAGAATTTAACAAGAACGGTGCCACATGTTTTTGAATAAAAAAAGGTGTCTCAACTTCTTCATGGTAATATCATCATTAAACCACGTTAAACCCTAATGCCATTGAATCCCATTAATATCCCATTCAGGCAAAGGAATCCACGCTCCTCGACATTTCCAGCTTCACCATAGAGGAGAGCAGCGTTCTGCATGATCAGCTCCTGACCCCAACGTTTCCCAGTGGCCACGGGATCACTGATGACCTGATGACCTGATGACATGACCTTTCTGCGTCCCAATAAAGGGCCCCAAGTATCCCAAGTTTGAGAAATCAGCCACCATTTGCCACTCCATCTATCATACCATACCATGTTCATCCATTTTCGCCATCAGTCAACTGAGTTAACTGGCTCCTCCGCTTGTTTTTTGATGTCTTCTTTAGGTTTTTTGACCTCGATCTCCAGCTGTTGTAGTCGGACTCGCTGTCCGTCCACCGTCACCTCGGTAAAAAGCGATTCATCCACCAATGGCCATCGCAACCCCACCGGCCATGATAAGAAGGGAGATGCTAACCATCCAATGAGAACTCATAGTAAAATAGATATCTAATTATCTAAGTGTATACCCAATGATTATCCAGTGGTAACTTATCCCAGTTCCACTATAACTGAACACTGTCAACTGATAGATCTGATAGGATCGAACAATGATGTTCACCAACCATTTTTGGCAATTTCACTTCACCAGTCAAACAGTGTTTTTTGGCCAAAAAACACCCAGGAATCCCAGCTCCAACTCCCATCCCCAGCCACCTGCAGGCGCCGGTTCTTCTTGGTGAGATCCAAGAGCCGTTGCTTCAAGGCCGTCTGCGAATCCTCAGGACCCAGGCCATCGTTTCGCAGCATCTCTAGATCTGCCTTCACCTGGCACAATGGAAAAATGGCACCGGAAAAATATGGGGAAAAATCTGGGGTCCATTGGGGTCCCATTTTAGTTGGGGATACAAATTGTAAACTCCGAGTTTTTCGCCACTTTGGGTACCCAACTTTCACCCAAACTCAGATGGAGATTGGATCCAACATGATCCAACTGGTGTTGGGAGAGATTGGAGTAGTGTGTCTCTGAATATCATGTTCTTAGCACCAAACACTCCATGGTGTGGACTTTTTGACAAATAGTGTCAACATGTGTCAACGATTTCACCTTAATGACCTACAAAGTGCTTTCCAAATAAGACAGCAACAAGCAGGAAATAAACCGTGCATATGGTCCCTTTTTGCGGCAAAGGCACCTGAGCCAGCTCTCCTTCTTTCCTCCCCAACTTATCATGCAAAAGTTCACATTTCTCCTGCCATTCATTGATGTCTTGAGGCTGTCCTCCAGTGACCAACCTTTTCCGTTTGATCTGTTCATCTTCGTCTTCAGAGCCCTCCTCGGGCAGAGCTCCCTCGGCTCGCGCACGCTCGGCACATTGGCGTTCGAAGCGTGCGATGTCGTCATCTTCCTCGGAGATACCACCAAACTCCCCGTAGCCTTCGATGTCCATGGCATTTGGGGAGCAGAGAAGTACTCCCCTAAGAACGAAGATGAATGCAGTAGATTCTCAGTATGTCTATTTGATGATTGACATGGTTTGGTCCTTCAAATTCATCAAATATCCTTCCTTGGCAATAGTTTGAGGGTCACAATCGGCCTCACCACTGCTCATGTTGTGAGCTCATTTGCGAGAGTTCGTCGGCTGCAAGAAACGGGGGTTTAGAGTAAGGCACACTTTTTGTGGTTGTGACAAGGACTGCTTTCATATGCTTTCTGGACGCTTTCTGGGTAGCTATTTGTTTGTGGACTGCATAGAATTGCTTGGGCACAGGTTTCTTGCAAGCAAGGCCAATGAGAACAGAACGCTGCGGTATGTAGGGGCTATGCAGCGGAACGCCTGCTTACGCTCTTGGACAAATTCCTAAATCTCCTTCTGCGAAGGGTTCAGTCTGGTTTTCAGTTTTCATCCACACTGCACAGCTCTCATCAATGTTTGTTAAGCACACCTTCACCATCCTTTAGTGTCGCTTGAAAGTCTTTTTCGCATGAGAGTTTTGCTCGAATTCATTGAAGCCGCCGCATTCCACCATGGCTTTGGACAGCCGTGAATCTGTGTATTATAGTTGTATAGTTAGATAGATATAAAATAGCAGTATCTATCTATCTATCTATCTATCTATCTATCTATCTATATATATCAATAATATATATATAGTATATATCAATAATATGATTATTGTTATTATGCACCCATAGTAAAGCAGATCAAAACCATGCTCTACGTGCATAGATACTTTGGGTGTCCAGTCAATGGTGGCCAAATGTGGCCAAGCAGCTCAGTGGTAGAAACCACTTCCTAACCTTGGTGGAACAAAACAGCGGTCGATCGTAGCGGTGATGGATTGAGTTAGGTTTTGCTCTGAATTTTCCTACCACTGGGAGGTAAGCAACTTTAAGCAACTTTAAGCAACTAAGCAACAACCAGATACAACCAGCATGTAAATCCGAATCGTCGGCCGAAATGTTGCTCCTGGGTTCCGCGCTCTTTCAAGGGATGATGATAGGGCATCTCACCTGAAACTGCGCGTCTCGGTTGGCGCAACTGGCGTCAGTCGTTCTCGAAGGAGCTCAAATGCAAAAAACAAAACAGCAGACAACAGAGAACAAAGGAAGGATGTCAATGGATGGATATAGTATAACGGATATATGGATATAATATGATAGGATAAGATAGGATGAGACAAGGTAAGATAAGGTAGATAGGTATATAGATTGATAAATGGATGGCTGGATGGATAGATAAACAGATGGACTAGTAGTAGATTAACTATATATCAGATATATATATATATAATTATATAAGATTAATGTAAACCCTGATATCTATATAAACCCTGATAATCCCTGATATAATTAATGTACTAAGATGGGTTTATATAGATCGATATCCTTTTCGTGAATCACTATATGTTTCGACCCTGATCCTGGGTATCCTGGGTCCAATAAGGTGATCCTGGTCCGAATCATATCGTGATAGCCTCGGTCGTAATTTGAATCATAGCTATAGGTCACGAATGAGATTAATAGAGATCATGAATGATCATTTTATAGATTTTTATTGTTATTATAGATTATTATAGATCAATCCAATAATCTATGAAGATGTGTCCCCATTTCTCGATTATTATATATATATATCATTTATCTCTGTATTGAAAATGGTGATGTTCCATAGCTATGTTGGATGTCCAGAGGGTATTTTTTGACCGTCCAAAAAAATTGGGGGTACCATGGGGTACCCAGTTTTCACCAGGATCATCCCAAATCTACGACTTTCCAGGGGTGGATCTATGACTTTCCAGGGGTGGCACTTGCACCACCATTTCATCCAAGTGACTCCTAGGAGTGTAGCCTCCATAGCCAGTTGGGACCTGCCAGTTGGACTGAAATGTCACTAGAAATACCTGGGACCTCTGCGGTGAAGAAGGCACTGCGATCCAAATAGAGAACACCATTGGATTCTTGCGACCGATATTAGGGTTTGTCTTGAAATAGGGTACCCCGCAATCCACGGATTATATAATCATAATTGTATATAATTGTCTATGTTAACATTCCCATTTGGAGGTCATATTGAGACATATTCAGATCCAAGTGGTAGCTTCCATTGCCATGTGGCCTTCACACTTTGGAAGGTCTCCTGGTACAAGGCCTCAAGCATCGCACACTGTAGGGTTTGTCCAAATACAGGGTACTCCGAAATCCCTCAAGATCTATTCCGCATTGAATGTTCAATGCGGAATGGACCTTGATGGATTTTACAAAAATTACCATATAAATATATATATATATTACTCATATATATATAATATATATATATACATTACACCTTAATACTATATCGAATGTGGCATCCTTTTTTGGGGACACCCCAGCAACTGAGCCCTTCGACCACATTGGGCCGACTCTCGGCGGACAAACTTGCTGTGGAGCTCTTCACTGCAGACCTTGCTGCGGCACCGGGGGCAGCATGGATTCACCAGGGATTCACCAGGGAAAAATGGGAATGCCTGGGATTCACCAGGGAATTGCGGAAAGTCACGAAAATTGATTGACATAGATATGCAGAAAAAAACAACTACCATCTCTTATTGGATTGCTACCTGGTGGTTCCCCATGGGTTTTCCATATCTATGTTTGTTTAACCAAGGGTAACAGAAAACGTCCGGAATTTCTGTGTTTGTTCAAGGTTTGAGACTAGAGATGACTAGAGCTGCACTGGCCTAACCAGCCTTCCTTGGTCGACCATTCATGACCATTCTCCACAGGCCATGACGTGATATGACATGATATGACTAGTCTTTTGATGAAAAAATCCTTTGCAAGGATCTTCCAGTGCAAGTTCTTTGTTTGCAAACAGACCCGTGCAGGCTGGCACACACTGTCGAAGTAAATTTTGAAGATAGCGAGAGATGTCATTGCTGGCAATCGCTGGTGTAAAAACATATCAGGCAAGTGCAAGTCTTGTCCGTCAAAGTCCCTCTGAAAACTTCATGTTTACAGAACTTCTGCAATCGCAATTTCACAGCTTCTCTGGGTATATCTAAAAATTAGTGCCTGAACATGGTTGAATGTTGAACCCTAATTTGTAGCAAATTTAATGGGGAAAATGCTGATCATCTGCTGATCGATTGATGAATCATCGTGCGTTTAAGCTTGAAATGACCGAGGCAGGTGCTGAGTGCTTGGAAGTGGCACCTAGGCAAGTGGGCAAGAAGCGAGCAATGGGTCCCCAGGAAAATGCTATGAAAAAATAAAATACACCCTGAAAAAAATGACATTTTGGGGGGGTCGTTTCTTTGGGGGGACAAACTTTGATCTGACTGCCCTCCATGAGTCTGAGCTCTGGACCAGAGGGTTTCGACTCTCAGGAACTGCGGACCTTCACCGGGGGCAGCATGGATTCCCCACCTATGATGGGAATCTGTGAAAAGATGTTTAAAAATTGCAAAATACTGGGATTAACCAGGGAATTGCGGAAAGTCACGAAAATTGATTGACATAGATATGCAGAAAAAAACAACTACCATCTCTTATTGGATTGCTACCTGGTGGTTCCCCATGGGTTTTCCATATCTATGTTTGTTTAACCAAGGGTAACAGAAAACGTCCGGAATTTCTGTGTTTGTTCAAGGTTTGAGACTAGAGATGACTAGAGCTGCACTGGCCTAACCAGCCTTCCTTGGTCGACCATTCATGACCATTCTCCACAGGCCATGACGTGATATGACATGATATGACTAGTCTTTTGATGAAAAAATCCTTTGCAAGGATCTTCCAGTGCAAGTTCTTTGTTTGCAAACAGACCCGTGCAGGCTGGCACACACTGTCGAAGTAAATTTTGAAGATAGCGAGAGATGTCATTGCTGGCAATCGCTGGTGTAAAAACATATCAGGCAAGTGCAAGTCTTGTCCGTCAAAGTCCCTCTGAAAACTTCATGTTTACAGAACTTCTGCAATCGCAATTTCACAGCTTCTCTGGGTATATCTAAAAATTAGTGCCTGAACATGGTTGAATGTTGAACCCTAATTTGTAGCAAATTTAATGGGGAAAATGCTGATCATCTGCTGATCGATTGATGAATCATCGTGCGTTTAAGCTTGAAATGACCGAGGCGGGTGCTGAGTGCTTGGAAGTGGCACCTAGGCAAGTGGGCAAGAAGCGAGCAATGGGTTGGTTCCCAATGGGGGAAGCACTTCCAAAATCCCAATGTGGCCCGAGGAAAACGCCTCGAAAAAAAAATGGGGGAATCCCCCCACTTTTCCAAACCCAAGAGGCTGGGCACGTTTGACTCCTGAAATTCCTAGGCTTTTGAGCCTCTAAAGAATTTGTTGGGATGATGGTAGATCCTGCTATCTAGCACTCTCACAATGTCAGTTTAAGCTCCAAAATGCGTTTCAGCTCACGATCCGGAGGTTCTGGTTCTGATTTCAATTTTTCTGCACCCCCATCCCATCATGTCCCATTGGATGTCCCATCATGTCCCATCAGGGGGCCATCCTCGGGGTGCGGAAGCCCGACCTGCGGAAGTATCTGCGACTGGGTGGATCGCTGCAAAGAGGATGAACTCACAGGTGGAGGTGTTGGGATTTGTGTTCCCGCCTGAGCCAGCCATGAAAAGTGAAAAGGGGAACGTGGCAGGGGGAAAGAGGTAGCTGCACCAAAAACGAAGATGGTACAACTTGGTACAACCGACAATCATCTGGTGCTGGAGCCACCCGAGTCCTGAAATATGAAGTCATCAATTGGGACACTATGGGACACTTATGACCAATTGGGATATGATATCATGATCCCATTTGTTGAGATGGAAAATGAAACCAAACAGATAACCTCAAAGGAGGCTGGTAGCAAACTTCAATCTGTTAGAGATTGGCTCAGCACTGGACCGAAACCGAAAGGGGAGTGAGCAATGGAGTGAGTGGAGAGTTGTTGTGCAAAAAGATCCCAGTAAAATTTCTGAAAA